AGCGGACAGTAAAATTGAAGATGTTCTTAGGTAACTTTGACTGGGCAGTGGACCAGAGTTTATTTAGCTCCAGCATAGAGAATTTAAGGACATTAGAAAAGAAAGATCCTTGAAGAGTTAGCCTGTTTTGCAGTTTATCCTCTTGTGAAGAATGGAAGTCTTTATGAACCTCCTTTGTAGATTTGTAAATGTCATACTGAATGTTTTTGTCGTTGCTAGTTGAGTTCCAGAGATGTTTTACTGAGTCATTAGTAGATGTTCTTAAAGCTTTGCGCAAAACTAATAATAATAATAATAATAATAATAATAATAATAATAATAATAATAATAATAATAATAATAATAATCACATTGGTTAAAATGACAATGATTATAATAAATGTAATTGGGCATTGAGAAAGGAAAAACAGAAGTATGGTTTGCATATATTTTTGTGTTTTGTAATAAAACGGAAATTCAAAATGGCGGACTTACATGGCGGTCATTGGGAATCATAAAGTAATGTGTTCTTGTTAAATTCGTTGTTTGTTGTGCACATTTCAGACCAAGAGATGCCACTCTTGGAAGATGATTATTTTAAATATTTAAATGTGATCAGGATTGCTTAAGATGAAAGTTAAGTCTCTCAAACATGTTGAAATAAAATTAACTGTAGGTATGAAGTACCGGTTGAATAGCGTCGTTTCGTTTTTAAACTTATGTGTAAATAATTTAACATGTTCGTCACAAAAGAACAATTATGTAACAAAGCTAAAAAGGTGCATTCCTACACTGCATGAACTAGCGTCATTTCATATCCTTCACAGTGCCAATTTGAATCAACCACAAACACTCAATTTTTCACTGGCATAGCTTTCAATTCCTTTTAGAAATGTACGACAAGAAGGGAAATAAGTTTGACTTCTGATCTAAGCACCTTGATTTTCACAAAAAGCTATGGATTATCGTCAACCCGGCAATAACGATTCATGAGCTTACGTTTTAAGCGTTCCAGTAGATCGTGCATTGTAAAACAACATGATTTACAATTAGTTTTACTTTATCGTCAGGCCATACCACTGCTTCAGTTTACTGAGCGCCCCAAGTAGTGGAAATCACACTTTTATACGTACGAGTACTAAGTGTAAAGCTGAGAAATTCTACGGAACGGATTAAATTAACAAACATTGCATGTTACCTGCATCATTTCAGGAACTGAGCTAACTTTAACTTTGTCAAAGTCCAATTCACTGGAATCGGTCAGAGGCACGTATTTCCCAAAAGTCAGCCATTCCTTGACACTTCCAATAACGGAATCAAGAGATGTAAGACAAGCCTTGTTTGCATCGTGCTCGGCAATTGCAACAGCTGTGTCAATGACGTCGTATGGTCCTTCGGCGGAAAGAAAACCTGTAATACCCGTAAGCACTGCAAAAAACTGCTGTTTGGATAATCTATTTGCCGCTGTTTGCTGAGCCTTCTTCAATGATGAGGAAATTTTTACTATGGTATTTTCCATCTGTGTTTCTGCTTCTCTAATAGCCTGCAAAAAAAAAAGGGGGGGGGGGGGGGAAAGGGTAAGTAAAACATTTATCTCGGGAGAAGAGGTTGCCTATCATTTTGTTGCATCGTTGCTTTGCTCTTGTTGTCCGACTTCTTCCCGTCTAATAAACAGCAATAAACGCTTTCTCACGTTTACGGCATCGTCATTTAAACTTTAATTCATTCCACCTCAAGATATACAGGAAGATCTATCCTTTGTTGAGGGGACGCATAAAAAGTGGTAAATAAACTCTAAATACTGTACCGTAATATACATCCTTTTCTCACTTTCGTCTATTGCTCTAGCTGCAACAAGTCGTCGTTTCTGTGCATTAACTTGTTGAGACGCTGCTGAGGTCATTACAGTCGCTATCTGCAAAGAAACCACAATTGAAGGTGAAGATACAACCTAATCCGTTTTCAAATGGATGTTTAATTGTAAGAGCCCATCACAATTACTAATAGAGCGTTTTCACTCACTTCTCAAGCCAGCCATATTGGTGTACCAAACAACAGAAACTTTCTGCCCAGTTTTTGCATAGAAATAGAGTTCAACTCCCGGCCCATAGGATAAAACATGTGTTGCTTCGGTGCACCAAAATGGCCGCTGTGACGTCACGTGAAAACGCTCTATAGACCTTTTTAGAACGTGTGCAAATTGCCCATTATAGATCACATGACATTCCCTTGAGAATTGCTCTTTTATGACGAACATATTAAAATATTTACACATGAAAGAATCAACTCCTAAGAGTGGCATTACATGGACTGAAATGTGGACAACAAACAACGAAGCCAAAAGGGTCACTGTGACGTCACGTTAAAACGCTCTATTGATTGATTGGCAATGTCAGTTTTGGAGAAACGTCGAGCTTATATCAATCAAGAACAAGATCTAACATGAGCAGGTTATCCTACCGCCAGGGCTAACTCTTTTGAATTGTTTCTTGACTCCCCCGAAAAAAGAAAACGAAAAACTTGTACCTAACACCAGAATCAACGAGGGTCATGGACAACAACATAGCAAAGCAAACGTGGTTGGTAGTCGACTGAAGTTTATCGCATGGTCTGCGGTCCCAAACCAAATTAAGGAAGTATTTGTATAAATTACCTGCTGAAAGTTTTCTTCGTCATTTACTTGATTCATAACTTTCGTGAAGGTGTCTTCATATATTTTTGCTGCTGCTTTTATTCTGTTTACGTCATTTTGAAGTTCTTCCCACTTTACGAGAGGGGCAAAGAGACTGTTCTTCCCAAAAATGTCAAAACCGTCTTTATCCACGAAAGCAAGTTTTCTTTGGGCATCTAAAGCAAATCAGAAGGTATATTTTGTTTAATGCCCAGATAAGCTTAAATAACTAAACCCGTTTATCTCACTGCAAGTTGCTCGTTTTTTCTTTTTCTTTTATTGATGCGTATGTAATATATCTAATATTTTTAATACAGTCAATCCAACTGAGCGGTGAACGCGGCGCGCAAAGCATAAGTAGACAAACTGACTGGCCCTAAACATTTTTGGGGCTTGAAAGAACGAAGCAAATAGCGGCAAAGTGAAATTGTTTTTATTGTTTTTTATTCTTCCTTTCCATATTTCTGTTTCTTGTAGGCACGTATATTACTCAAAAGAAAACAGAGGGTTACAGTAGCCTGGGAATGATGGCCGGAGGCAATACAGCTAAAGCGCGCTGTGATTTGCGGAAATTAGATTCACCGCTCAGCTGGTTCAATCTCGTTGAAGCTGACCGGCTCCGGCCTACGCGACTGCACCGAGGAAAGGGAATATGGATGAAAATTACTGAATTGGTTAAATATTTGTTCTGAATTAATTGTTCCCGCTAGAAATATTGTGGTGCCGTTAACAATTGATGGTAATAAGAAACCTTTTGTTAAATGGCACCAACGCTCTCCCGAGAGGCCGTGATGACGTAACGTGCAATCGAAGAATAGCTTCAGTGATTTCTTCCCATAGTTCCTTCCGGTCCAGTCACGTAAGCTTGAGCCCTTCGAACGGACAGTGTTTTTTGAATTGACTCTACTTAGGTTTTCCAAATAGTTTACTCACCTTTCATAATATATTCAACGTCAGTTCTTCCAGTCGTTATCCTGACAAGAAACTGTAGTGCGTCTTTGCCCTCCTGATTCTTGCTGTCTCCTAGCAACAAGTCCACTGCCTTTCTCCTTATGAGAAGAAGAAGACCTTCTGGGAAAAGGTTCTTTACTGCTGTGTTGATTGTCGTTGATTGAGTGACAGAACTGTCACTAACGGTGCCATCCTCTCCTTTGACGTTGGGAGCTAAAAGAAAAAGTACATTAAGGCTTTGCACAGTCACACGACAAGCTAAACAAATTAAAAATGACAAGACTACTAAAACACCTCATAACAAAAGTTATATATATATATATATACACCTACTTGCAAGAACGTTGACATACGAAAATAGAACATTAGTGATTTAGTGGGATAGGAATTATGTTAAAAAACAAAAGAAGATTTTTCTTTTGTCTCTTAATGTATTCCTTTCTCACTAAATTACTAATGTTCTATTTTCGTAACGTTCTTGCAAGTAGGTGTATATATATATTCTATTTTACTACAATTATCGCCATAAACGAATAGCCAAGTGCAACTGGATTGCCCATTCCCTTACTAGTTCCTGGGGCTCCTTTCTGACCATTTGATCCTCTGGGTGCGTGTAGTCTTTGCCTTTTGCGGCAATCATATACTTTTATTTCTGAGGACTCGCTCATATCGTATGCGTAGCACCGTATTCCTTGTACTCCTGTACCACCGCTGCCACCTGTAATTTAAACCAATGTCAATTCGAGTTAATACTTATTAATACTTATGGTGGTTGGGACTTTTCTCTTTCTTGGTCCCAAATTATGGAATAAATAGCCTCTTGTCTTGCTTGTCGAGACAGTAAATTATCTAATTTCTATGTTATGTCTATTAAAGTGCTAGTGCAGTTTTCGTATGACTGTGAAAAGCTCAATACCGTAATCGTGAGGCGCCGTGACCGTGATGCTTTCTAGAATTTTAATTGGCTGATTTTTTCAAGCGCAATGTGATTGGTCTGGCATTGCCGTGATCTTGGCGTGACCGTGTCCGCGCCGTGTTTATGCCGTGTTCCGGGTATTTGATTGGATGGAGAGTAAATTCTCGTGCAATGTGATTGGTCTGGCGTATCCCTTGCCGTGTCATGACCGTGTTCGTGCCGTGATTTTTTCACAGTCATACGAAAACTGCACTATGTAATAAGCGACAAGATTTTTATTTGCATTTTTTAACTCGTGGACTGCAAAGCTAAAAGTCAATACATTGATTAATTTTAGCTGGATTAAGTCTTGCTCTGCGTATCTGGATTGAGGATTAACTGCACAGACAAAAAAAACATGATTTTTAAAGAGTCAGGTAAAGTTTCCTTACTTTCAAGTTTTGACAATTTTATCGGAGTTTCTAGGGAGAGTTAAACGTTTCATTGTATACGATAGCAAGGCAGAAACCGATATTGGGCCACCTGTGGTTTCCAAAACTTTAGTCCTTTTGGTTTCTTCCATAAAATGTAGGAATCTGGTAACGGGTAACAGCTTTTTCTGCATTAGCTAGTTCGAAAAAAAATTGTAGTTGAATTCTCCCAGTATCCTTCATTTCTTGCCAAAATCCAAGGAATATGGGAATACGAATGATATTCCCTGGGATATCCATACTCGGCTACATCTCTTTTAAAAGATAGCAACACAAAAATCAATCTTGGGCAACCTGTGGTATCCACAGCTTCATCCCTTTTGGTTTCCACCAAGAAACGAAGGAAACCGGGTAATTCCAAAACGGGAACCAGCTTTTTCTGCATAGTTGTATTAGCCAACCAGAAAACAATGGTAGCCGGATTCTACCAGAAATTTTCGTTTCTTGGCAAAGTCGGCCAAGCGGGTAAGGTCTGGGAACAAGAATTATATTCTGGCCTGGCATATCCATTCTCGTTTACACCTCTTTTAAAAATTTCCGCGCCACAAGAGCAAGCCATTAATTTGCAAAAGAACAAAAGGAAGCTGTTTCATAGACTCGCATAACTCCTTTTTTTCTTCAAGTCAATACCAGTTTTATTAAACTGATGGACTCGACTTACCATTTCCACCTTGTCCATTATTGGCTGCATCGACTCCAGTTCCCGCGCAGACGTTAGCTTTTACACGCCCTTTTAAATTTCTGTAGCGTAGAGTAACACTTCCAGCATTTCCACCCCTTCCTGGGGAAAAAAAATCCACCACAAATGAACATTCATTGTTAACTAGCATTGGATTACTACGGAATCCAACAAAGTGTGGAAACGCAAGAAAAAACACGCGCTTATCACGGCCACAAAATTAGCGTTAAATATCCCAAAACGGCGGCGGTTTTGATAAAAGAACAAACGAGAGCAAACTATTAAAGCCACGTTTCGTAAAATCGAAAAGGGAAAACGAAGCAAATTTGAAATAATTTTTTTCCAAGTTGCAAGTGCCTTTGGAAAGCAGTGGAAATACGTTGATGTTTTTGGGCGTGACAATGGCATGTTTAATTTTTCCCAGTGTTTCCACACTACGGTGCATTCGGTAGTATTAAAATAATCAAACTGCGATGTTCAATTTGTGGCTACTACTCAAAACAATTACTAAAAAAGGCACTTGAATGGAGCTAGAAGTTATGTACTTCTCACCTCACCAAATTTTACTCTAAAAGGTTTTTTTTTTACAAAAATTATTTTACTGCTTTCCTTCTTAATGGATTTGACTTTCAGTAGGCTGATTATTTACTTTTGTTTTGTTCTATGCTGGTGAAGGTGGCTCGCCTACTATTTATGCATGGGCGGCAAACATTCTTTAGGGAGTCAAAAGACAAAAACCTGGTGGCTATTGTGGTGTCGTTAACGGTGGATGCTAATGAGAAATATTTTTGCTAAATGTAGCCAACAACCGCGATGACGCTACGGCCCAACGACGATGACACGCTTTAATTTAAGCCCACGATATGTGCCGCACTAATATAATAAAACCGTTCAAAGCGGAAAGTATACGTTCTTCATACTCGTTTTACAGAATTATAGTACACTCAACAAAATTACTCGACTCTGATTGGTCGAGAGGAGTACAATTATAGCGTTAATTGTACTCCGTAGGAGTACCGAATTAAGTCGCTATAACAACAAGGCCAAAACAATGTCAAAACAATTATTTTCTATCATTTTGTACTTAAAAAACATAAATAAAATTTTAAAGCCGTAAGAACTAATCTTTTTTATGCATTTCAGTTGCACGATGGACTGAAAATCGGCCGCCAAATAAACAAAGATGAACGGCGTCGCTTCGATTTTTTTACTGAAATTTTGTTGAGTGAACTATAAACAAAAAATCACACGATCTTCTCGTACAATTTGGAATTATTAGACACTCGTAATGTTTTAAAAGTTCTTTAATTGCACTCGCCTAAAGGCTCGTGCAATTATAAGAACTTTCAAAACATTACTCATGTCTATTAATTTCCAAATTGTACTCGAGATCGTGCGATTTCCTATACAAATTGTCTAGCAAAAGACGAATAGAAAATAAATTTTCATTATATTTTCAATTTTTTTACTTATATTTGTAACTGAGGTGGTGGATTACCAGTGCCTTTTTAAAATTTTTTTTTTTCGTTGGAAGTTTGTTTGATCGTTTGTCTGTTTGATTCGAAAACGTTTTCATGGACTATTTGTATAGTAGGCAGCTACCTTGAAGTTTAATTCGGAAAAGTAATAAAATTTCATGTAATAAGGTAGTTTTTCTCGGTGAAAAGTTAAATCCAAAAACAAGTGGCAATTAGTCTGCACCATAAAATTCATTCAAAATATATGAGTAATATAAATTGTTTTAAACCGATTTTCTTTAAGAAATAACCCTTGGTGCACCCGATATATTGATATTCATTTTATTTGCAGATATCAAATTGATTACGTCATCGAAGGGCACAGTGAAAAGGGGCAATCCTTAAATAAACAATATATTTCTAAAAATGGGCCCAAGGGTTTAATTTTTCATATTTATGGAAACATTTTAGGTTATTATTACGCAATCGACAAAATTACTCAATTCCGATTGGACGAAAAGGAGTACAATTAAATCCCAAATTGTCCTCTTTAGAGTTCCAATTTCTAAAGGCCAGTCCAATTTTTAAAACTTTTAAAACATCACTCATAACTATCATTTCCGTATTGTACTCGAGATCGTGCGATTTCCTATACTTATTATGAGACGCGCACTTTTCGAGTAAAAATACGGGCTTTTTGGAGTAATTTGATAGTTATCGTTTGTCGTATAATTAATAATTTAAACTTTCATTCCAAAATGATTATTTTTTCGTACCTGGGGTTCCAGCATTTCCTCCTCTTGCTCCGTTTCCTCCTCTATTACCTGTTTCTGAACCTCTATTTTTAGCGTTACACCTCTTATTTGCTTCGACTGATTCATCAACCCCTATAATGTTATATGAAACATAGCCGCCGCGCTTACACCAAGTCCAACTGCCATACTTGTCAGCTTTCTGTAAAAGAATAGATATTTTGTTATAACTAAGGAGCTCCCGCGCGGGCTGCGAGCGGAGTACCATACTTAAGAAAAATTGGTAACCCATCGAGTTGATTTTCACATGGCTTGGCTGATGTCACTTTTGCCGTCCTGACATACGTACGTACGTCCGTGTACATATCACAAAGGTCCCGCTTGATTTCAATGCAAAACTACTCGTAAATGCATAGAAAACATCGCTTTGTGATAAATTATAGACCAACAACAAATAAAAAAAACTCCAAGTGGTCAAAGATGGATCAAGAAGCGTTCTTCAAGAAATCATGTGTGTGTTTTTAGCAAGCAATCGCATAGTTTTATTTTCTAAGACAAGCAGTTTCTTTCGACGAATCGACAAATCAAATACTTTCTCTTAAAACTTTTATAATTTCAATAGATACACTCAATCTATTTTAATGCTGAATGAAATATAAAAAGGAGAGCTAAAACAAAAATCCGCCCTTTATTTAGCTCTATAAATATTCAAGAATTCGGTGTTTTTAATCAGCTATCGTATGTTTTTCTTTCAAGAAAAAGCAGCTTCGTTCGCCCCCTATCGCGGGTTCCTATCGGCAAACAAAAGAAGACTTTCAATCAATATTTATATATTTCTATAAATAATTTATTTAATAACATAAAAAATTAAACCAAGTACATTCGCCATTTGTAAAGCTTTTCAAGCTAGAATCATAATACAAGTCATTAGCCTAAATTTGTATTCTTGAGAGATATGTTATTCTATAAAAACCTTGTCTTTCACTTTAAAAAGCTAAAAAATATTCAAAAACATTTACAAATGCCAATTTACTGACAAAAAAATTGTTATTTCTTATTTTGCATTGTATTTTGCATTATTTCTTATGTTGTCTCAGTTGTTCTTGTCAACTCTAACTGAATGTAAACTTTTTCGAATACTGTCGTTTGTGATTTCCGTATCTTTTTCACACATGAAAGCAAATGAAAACTGGTAAAATTGAATCTCAAAATCTAGTAAGCTCAAGCTTCTCGAAAAATAGGTAAAGCTTTTATGAAATGAATAAAAATATTTTAATGAAGAATTAGAATAAGAAAAATATATTTTAACTGACACATGAAGTAATTAGAAAAAAAAAAAAAATATATATATATATATGTAGGTAAAGCGAAAACATACTAAATAAAGGAATACATACCTTATTCTATATACACCTACTTGCAAGAAGGTTGTCATACAAGAATAGACCATTAGTAATTTAGTGAGAAAGGAAACATTAAAAGACAAAAGAAAAAGTTCAGCTTCAGTGATCTTCTTTTGTTTTTTAATATAATTCCTATCCCACTAAATCAATAATGTTCTATTTTCGTATGACAACGTTCTTGCAAGTATGTGTATACAAATACATATACGTACATACATACACACACATATAATAATAGAATATATGAACAGAATAGATTATATATATATACATATTCATACAAATACATACATATATTTACACCTATTTCAATAAACGTTATCATCGCCAAAGGCAATAGGCGATAGGTCATTCCGACATGGAAATGATTTCGTTGAATACAAAGAACATTGAATCTGTCTGGTCTCAACACCAAGGTCCATGTTTTTGACGAGAATAAGATAGAAGCAGAATCACAAGTCATTCCAGCTATTCTTGGATTTTGGAATGATCTATCTCCCATCGCTTTTCGCCTACCTCCTTTGGTGATGATAACGTTTATTGAAATAGGTGTATACATACATATACAGACAAACATGAAAACATATATTGCCATAATGAATATATTAATATGCGGTTGTATCGTCGTGTACGGGAATTGTCAGGGGAATTCTATTCAAATTCAAATTTCGAGTAATCGGCTAGTAGTCGTACCCTACGATAGCATAAATTAAACTATAATAAATATTTATGTGCACGCGCTGATGATACATCGTTTAAATATGACTAAAAAATGAGACCACCCAACCGAATTCACTTCGTGGTCTAGGGGTTAGGTTTAGGGTTAGGGTTGGGGTTGGCATTGTAGTAGTTCTTTGGTGCCGAAGGTACCGAGTTCGATTCTTGGTTTCTTCACTTAATTTTTTTTCTAAGTGAGGAGAACCAAAATTTCTAAGTCTCACTCGTGTGTTCGGAAACCTATGACGTACTTCGTTAACCCGTACACGACGATAGTACCTAATATACACCCACGAATACATACATATACTGAGACATAAGCTTATAGGTACACATATAATATGTATTTTCTCAGTATCTATATATGAATATGATTATAAATATAAGTTGAACACCATTTGAATTCATTTGACTAGTGTAGTTAGTTAATGATCTCCCGCTTTCTCTCTGATACTACGCTAGCAAAGCATTTATTTTCTTAATTTCCTCGATATAAAATACGATTCTTACAAAAACATAAAACTCTTCCTCTGGATAACCAAACATTGTTATGTAAAAGAAGTAAAAGTCAGCTTAAATTTTTCAAGAACAAAACTAGGCCCTGGAGTGTGCGGTAGTGCGTTGTGTACATGTGACAAAATTTCTAATGGGAGAGTGCTAAGGTCGAAAAAAATCGTGCGAAGAAAACGATGTAGTGCATTTCGACTTGATTTTTTCGCTTCCCGGTTTTCATTATGAGGGACATTATCTTCATCTCGAAGGATAAAAATAAAATGAAGTTTTTGCGCCCGATTTTATTTTTTAAATTCAAGTTGTATCTAAATTGGGCTCCCTGTGCCTATTGGGAGTTCCACTTTTAGGCAGTGCCTAAATTTATATTAGACTGCTACACCCGAAGCAATTAGTATTCTGTCCTGTTGTTTGCTGCAACGTTTTTTTTTTTTTATTATTATTATTTTTTTTTATTCATTCATAGGTAAATCTAGGTCAACATGAAAATAAATATAGACCGCTTGCAAGGAGTCCCTCGAGGAATTGTTTTGGGGGTCAAAACGATTAATTTTTCTTTTCTTTTTTTTTTTTTTTTTTTTGCATAAGAAAAGACGGCCTAATGTTTTCTCTCCCAGTACAATTCCTCAAGGAATTCAATGCAATTGGTCTACATGGTGACACGGCTATTTGTTATCGTCAAGCAGCGTGTGCGATATAAAACTTGCTCTTTCGTTTTAGTTTAAAAAAATCGTACGCGTGCACTTTCTTCGTTGATTTAATATCTGTATATGTTATCATGACGTGTGGTAATCGAACAATTAATTTAGTAAAGAACTTACATTAGCGGCATTAGAACCGGGTCGACCATTGCCACCATCTTGTCCTTTGTGTCCATTTCCTCCTTTAGAACTGATATCAAGTTCGCCTTGTATAGTGTCACTGAATACTTCGACTGAAAGCAGTTAAATGTTAGAGCTATGGAAAGGGACAGGGACAGGAAGAGAGGGAGGGTGAAGGATAGGGAGGGGAGAGAGAGAGAAAGAGAGAGAGAGTAGGGGGAGGGAAATGGACAGGGAGAGGGGGAGGGTCAGGGATAGGGAGAGGGAGAGGAGAGAAAGAGAGAGAGAGAGTAGGGGGAGGTAAAGGGAGTTGATTCACTGGTTTGGGCCTGCTTTACATTAGCGTCGTAATCACAATCGTAGTCAACATATGCAAACTCAGTTTTCACATTTATCACCTAGGCGTTAAAAGACAAGCGAGGAACACACTACTGAGTCTGCGTATATTGCTTACGATTCTGATTACGACGCCAGTGTGAAGCAGGCTTTAATTTTCACATAATGCTAACTAATAACTGATTTTCTATTTACTACTAAATTTATACATGGACGCAATTATATTAGTATGGCTTTGCACACAGATAATTTGAGAGGACCAATTTATTTGGCCCCAGAGAGCCATTTTGGCTTTTTCAAAGTAGTACTATTTTAGCCCAGGCTAGGGACAAAATAGAACAATGCCATTTTGGCCCAACAGAAGCCATTTTGGTATGGGTCTATCAGTATTGTTTTGGCCCCCTCAATTAGAAAAATCTATATAAGGGGCTAAAACAGTCCCAAAATCAGAGCTAAAAATGGCCCCTACCGGTAGTGCCAAGAAAGCCTTACTTTAAGGAAGCCACTATAGGGTCAAAATCTTGGCCCCATTTTTGGGGCCAAAACCCCCCTATCCTATTTACTGTGAAGGATATTTTATCTCTATATTTGAACTATTGAATCATTGCATGTCATTACTCACCCTGAGGTCCATCTTTGCCGTCTTTTCCATTTTCTCCGTTGGTTCCAACTCCGTTACTCTGAACTCCAACTGGAGTAGCAAAATCCTGTGTCCATTCTGGTGTAGCAAAAACGATCCGACTTCCTTTAGCAGCGACAATCTTCCTTGCGTATATTTTAACAGTTTGAAGGGCATAAAAGGTAACTTCGCCCTATATGTAAAAAAGGTAGATGAATTAGATAGAAAATTCATTATTTTGTATGTAATAAACAATTGAATCAAGAAAATAGACCGTAGAAGAGGAAATGTTATAATGAGAATTAGTCAAATCCAACTAGTGGTATATCACCAATGTTGCATTCTGATTGGATGATCTACTATTAGATTATAAGGTATATCCTACTAGTAGGTAAAAACGTGTTTGCATCTATATATTTGAACAAATAGTAGTGGATTTGACTAAAAAAAAATAGCCCTCTCGCCCTCAAGGCCTATGAGTCAAAATAGCCCATTCTCCCCTCGCCCTTCGGCCTCATGGGCTATTGATCATTGCCTATTCAGGCTCGAGGACTAAGGTTCAGTGTAAAACAAGCTGGCAAGTGCTATCGTATGCTTGCCCTCGTCGTCGTCGTTGCTATCCTGCACTTTAAGGTCCCTACTGACTCGTAAAGCATTCTGGGTCAAATCATTAAATATACCTCAATGTGGAAGGTGTCTGCCAGGATATCCAGTTTCAGAAGTGAATCCATATTTGTTCTCTCAGCAGTATTGAAGTTTATGTCCTTCAATGTTAACCGCTCTTTCAGGTAATTTGCCTTAATTATTCGACCAGTAGCTTGATAGTGACCTTAAATAATTGGAATCGGAGAATGAACTTCGATAAAAAAATGAAGAAAAAAAAAAAAAATAAAAAAAAAAAAAAAAAACCGACGGTGACAAAAAAACCGTCATAATGCATAATAATAATAATAGTGTTAGTGATAGTGACAAATTGTTCTTACGTAATGTCCGGCTAAAGCACATATTCTATTTTACCTGCTTCGATTTCAATTATTGATGGTGTATTGAACCACATTGTAGTCGGGATAGTTGGAATGGACGAACTCTCCTGGCCTTGCCACTCGCCAACCACGCACGCTCCCTCTTTTTTAATAGGTGTGGCTAAAAGAACAAATTAATAAACAATATATGTATTACTATTGCAATTCAGTCATGCAACGGGTTTTCTTTAAAAATCTTCCTAAATGAGCTCCGTAGTTCTTGGAGAAAAAAAGTAGGAAAAAATACGGTTTATAGAAAGTGAGAGAAAATGAGATATCCTTGATTAGTGATATTTTGCAAGTGCTGAAAACTTTTTTTTTTTAACTGAAAATAATGAAAGACAAGGCAACAATAACAACATTGAAAAATGTTTTTATAGCGCAACGCGCAAAAGTATGACCACATTTATTGCATTCGCATACTTCTATGCACGGGCTTTTTAATGCCAAATGAGCTTTTACACGCCTTATTTGGTAAAACCAGGTGTATCGGAATGTGTCGGTTTAACGTACAGAACCCGTGCATAGACGTATGCGAATACATTAAATGTGGTCATAATATGATAACTGATTGGTGCTAACTTGAAAAAAACCCTCATCAATTAGGGGTACTATAAGAATGCGCCTACAAAGCTCTGGGCACGATGGGAGTAAGATGTATAAAAAATCGGCCCCATGCTTCCCCTAGTCCATAGCCCCTAGCTAGTGACTAGCTAGCTTCTTTGGTTTCTAGGTGATTATGGTCATTCATCGCTGCGGGCGGGGGAGGGTGAGTTTATCCCTTTACTTCTCGTTTTCCGCAAACAAGCTAAAGTACGCGAGTCCAGAGAGAACGGGAACGCTTATATAGAAAGCGATGCGATGGTATAGATTAAGGATTAATTTAAGTCGTATAGTTGACTTTAAGGATCAAATAGAAAAGTTAATTGAAAGGTTTAAGGCCCAGGGCAAACGTCGGACTAACGTCGCACCGAACCTATTTAACAAAGGTTCGGTGGAAGGCCAACTAAAGGGTCTACGTGGCGGCAAACGTCGAACCAATGTCGATATTAATTCACTCACCCATTGTTATTATAAGTTCTAATTGGACATGAAAATGCACGGGGGAACGCACGGACGTTTGTTTGCCTTTTCTGGATTAATGCATATCCTTGCAATGGCGAAATATAGCGCTCAACCACAATTAAAACTGGCATTTCTATGGATGGAGAAAGGTACAGCTGCAAGCTCTGCTATTAGCCGTTCTTCTGATGGTTTCTTACGATGAGAACTCTGCAGTTTGAGTAGTCTTATTGAATTTATTTTCGTATCCAGAGCTCCTCGGTCTCGTTCATCACTCGTCTTTGTATAGCGCATGCTCGCCAGAGGGGAATGAGTGTTTGGGAGGTGGGGGAGTGGTTGTTTTCACGGGTTTGGTGTAAGTCATGCGACTTGCATGATTGATTTACTATTTTGCATAATCTATGAATTTAGTTCGGCACGTGTTTAAAATGGTGTTTGCCGTAATGTCGTAATGTCCGACTTGGCTTGTCGAACTTATGCTGGACTCGAACCTATTCAATAGAGTCGTTCTCAATTGCAGTAAACGTCGTACTAGTCATGAGTCTATTTCAATTGTGATAGCCTCGACTAAATTAATCTCATGGTTAGTCGACGTTTGCTCTGGACCTTACTCAGCATAGACCATTTGTTCCTCTTTCCTGGCTTTAGTTACAAGGATCCATTTAGTTAGCTTGCGGAATTATTAGGTTAAGTTCTAAGGACCAATTTAGGTCAGTTTAGTTTAAATCATTTATTCATGCCGTTTAGTTGATAGGATCTATTTTAATTGGGGAAAACCTGTAGTAGATTTCTAGCCTCTCTTATTTGATCTCTTATTGTTCAGCGATACGTTTCGTAGTCTCTTTTCTTTAACCCGCCAGCTATTGTAACCTAAGAGTTGGCTATAAGTAAAATAAAATAAAATAAAGTATATATATTTTAAAAATGCATTCCACGAGGACCCGCGACTAATGCACGCAATTAAGCGTTGGTGTGTAAAAATTCTCGTTTTTAGGGCTTTTCGTGGCCACCCCTTAAATGTTATATTTTTTTACGTCCCCTCCCCCCTTAAGTCCCACCATCCTCCCTCCCTTGTCCGTAACACGTACAAAATTGAACCGTCCCTAGGCATTATGTATACGCATTATATTATTTTACCAAATATGAGAGGTCTAACAATTACCTGTGTCGACGCTTGCATCTTTTTTCTTGTGCACGCGGCCTTGGACCGTTAGAAGCACCATAGAACATATCAACACGGCGCTGATTTTGTAAAATGTCGCCATGTCTTGGAGAAAAATTACGATGACAAAAAAAAAATAAATAAAAAAAAAAAAAAAAAAAAAAAAAAAAAAAAAAAAAAAAAAAAAAAAAAAGGATAAAATGACTAGATAAAAAATAGAATCAGTGAAACTTATAAACAAATCAGAAATTAGGTATTTTATAATAAAAGGAAAAAACACTAAACAAACATAAAACCAATTAATTCAAAACCCTGACAATTTTTCATGTTTTCCCCCACAATTATATTACTCATTTTTTATATCTTTTTAATTTGTATTCATTAGCGTACGTAAGCCACAAAATAAATAATACCCTTGTATGTGATAAGCCAATCTGTTATTCGTGTACAATAAAAACTTGCACATAAGAACGTATGATTAAGAAGAACCTGTTACGCTACGGATTTTCGTTTAGAACTTCTTTACTGTGGCGGATTCAGGAATTTTAGAAGGAGGTTTACTATCACCAAGATTTAACCAGAAATGCGAGGAAAAGGGGGTGGCTTACTAGGTATAATACTGAGAAATTTTAGTAAAAAGGGGGTAGGCTAGCCACTCCCTTCACTACCCCTGGAAACGTCACTGCTTTACATAAGAATCCTTAATTAAGAACCAGTAAGGATGAGATTTTCCGTTGAGATCCTATTTACACAAGAACCTGTTTTAACCTTGAAATTTCAAACAGGTTTTTATTTATTTTATAAAATTCGGTTATTACTTAAGAATTTCATAAATGGAACAAAAAAAAGTTATTGATATTTAAAGATATAAAGGGAAAAAAGAAATATGAGATATACCAAACCTAGGATAAGATTTTTATTTCATTAGAATTAAACTTGTATGAATTAGAATATTTTATATGAACAATAGAACGCACTTATATTTTACCAACAACAAACCCTTAAAAAAAGAACATGTTTAGGAATCAAATAACCTCAATTTTTCACTGCAGAAACTCATAATGGGGTTCAAACAGTGGAGCGGTGTCCAGAGCGGTCATACATTTCTTTTGTAAGGTAGTCACGTAAACAGCTTGGCACGAAGAGCAGTATATTCTCAACTGGTCATTCATTACGGTTCACTGATTGCGATTGGGGAAAACTGGAAGTCATTGATTTTGCGAATTTTCTTTCTTATTCAAATGTGTATTTCCGTTTGGGAATATAGTCACTCGTCTCTGTGTATTTCAAACTATAAAAAAAAATTGGCTGTATCATGATGCAAAGCATTTCATAGACTAAACATTAGCATGTCATGTGGAAGTTCTCAAAAAAAGGTCTAAATTTGATTGTTTGGTTGAGAAAAAACTCTAGTGGAGTAACGTCCTGGATTATAGTAACCAAGTTAGCTTTAAAAAGGTTGTTATATAGTTGGTGTTTACTGGAAAACTAGGCTATCTAGGTTTTAAAAGAGGTTTTTATTATTATGAGAAAAGAAAAAAAGAAGCTTGTTGCTGGTAGGGCGTAGGTGCAATCTATTGTTTATTACGTTAGTGCCAAGTCGTCGTTATTGTTTAGTCTTAGCTGTTTTTCATGCAATTTCCCGTCTTAGTCTTGTCCCCTGATTATTTTAAGTGAGTCAAACATGTGTAGTTCTAAATTAATTTTTTCTTTGTACGTTGGTGTCATTATTATAGATGAACTGCTTCAACAACTTTAAAAATAGAAAATAGTTGAGTCGTGCCAGTTTATCACGTCGACCGTTAGCGTGAGCATACACACGGGTTTTTTTTTTTTTTTTTTCGTCGAACTTTAACCTTTAAATATCGCTAAACTTATTTTTGTTTCAATTTGTTATTATTATTTAAAAAACGATATTACCGTTATGTTACCGATAAAAGAACACAGAAGCGTAAAACGTGTGGCAAATTATTTTAAGACGTTTAATCACAACTTATAAAATATGCATATAATTATGTCTAAATGACTGTAATCTTATCAAATACAAACCCTTCTCTAAGATATCTTATATTTTTTTATGAATTTTATATCTTAATTAAATATCAAGTTTTATTCGATTTATGAATTCCTACGTGTTAACAGTAGACTGAATTTTAAAATATGAAGCCGATTCAAATTTTAGGTTAAAACAAGTTCTTGTGAATTAAAGATGATCTAAATGGAAAATCCCTGTCTTATATGTGGGTTTTTACTCTTATGATATGTGTTTCTCCAATCTGTGGGCAAATTTGTACATCGATTTTCCATGCCCTAATATCGTTGGTTTTCGTTTTAAGTCCAAGATTTAAAAAATAACTACTATTGCCACTTTCACACTCCTTAAATCCTTTCCAGTTTGAAGAGCAAATGGTTGGGGGCTGTTGGGATATTGAAAGCTATTGAGTAGGTGTTAAGTTTATTTTAAGTGTTACTTTTTCAGTGATAAAATGACTATCAGTTTTATGTTTAGTCCCCTAGGAACTGAATACCTAATTGCAAGGTAAGTTTTTATTGGATTTGATTTTTTTTTTTTTCCCAGAATAACTAGGCTAAAATAAATTGTCTACTGTTTTCTAATTTTTAGAAGAAACTATAAAAAGTAGCTGCTAATGCTAAGGAGTGTTTCTGATAAATCCCGAAGCATTAGCAGCTATATTTGAAAAAAATCAATTTATATACATATTATATACGACTTTCCCCTCATCTTTTTCTTCTAACGTACAAACACTATGAGATGTGAAATTGGAGGATAAAGGAATACTTATACTGATGTAAGTTAGTTTATATAGTTACCTTGGTCTTTTAGACAAACCTTCGTAGTTGACTTGAATGCAAAGGATAACCTTAATGATCAACTGCTCGAATAAATGTCTGATATAGTTAGAAACCACCCCATTAAATCCACTCAATAAGGAGACAGGTAGATATGGCTGGTACCAAATATCTGACGTCAGTAGATTGATATTTAATGACGTTATTCAAAATGGAATTCTTTAACATCTTATGTCAATAATATCACAGCACAGCATAAAACAACAACAACAACAACGACGACGACAACAAAACAGATTTGCGCAGTTTGTTTTTTAGCGTAAAGTTGCTGAAAGTTCTCTTAGGAACTCTTTAGGCTGCTGATAAAGTCGTTTAATTATGTATTTTAAGAAACAGGCAAGAATGCAAACACCCGCCAAATCAAGAATTTCCCTTGAGATAAAACCGCTAAAAAAAATAAACTTTCTATAAAATACTATTGTCTAGCAATGCAGCATTCAATATGTAACAAAAATCATTTGATCCTTTTTTACATCGGTACATTTTCAAAAGCTTTAAGCAAACCAAACGTTTACATCCAATTTAGGAGTCCGTTACATGGCGTTAAATTCCATATCTAAATAAAGGTTTAAAGATTACGATTACTGCTCAGATTTCCGCTCTTCCGTAAAGTAACAGTTTAAAACAAAAGTTTAAATGTAGGCTTCACATGGCATTTACTAAGAAATTATATTAACTCGAAAAACTTGCAAATAGGCTTGACATAATATTTTCAGAATTGATTTTTTACTGAGATAGTGAATTTAGCTGATTGCAAAATTTATATTTATATTTCGTCATTTTAGTGTGGGAACGAAGGTTTATATTTCCAATATGTTTTATATTTCATAAGGGATTTTAGTTTGGTGTTATCGTTTTATACTGAGAGCTGGACACCAAATTTGCGAAAACCTTTGCAACCTATATAAGTCACAAGTAAAACGGTGGCGCCCTATTTTAAGTCATAACCATTACCATGTTGGGGTTATAAACTAACTATAGAAATCAACTATTCTCTATCAAATCAACAAATTAAAAAAAAAAACATGTGCAAAGGCTATAGGCACTTCATGTTTAATACAGTATATCCGTTAAGTAATGAGAACGGAGGCAATAAGCAATACAAATTATTTAAATACGAGGGCTTTATAGCCTTATTGACGACGTTCAAGGTATTTTAGTATTTTAGTTCAAATTTTATAAGGTTTTCCTAAAAAAGATGGTTAATTGTCATAGATTTTTTTTCAACGRTCAATGCACGTAAGAAATCCTTCCAAGAAATGTGTATATTTAGAAAGTAAGTGCGACTATTAAAAATAAAATAGCAGCAAAATAGCTGCAATTAAACAACGCATCTTTGGTCTTGTTTCACAGAAATATGGCAAAGTTTCCTTGGCCGTCGACATTTTTACGCTTTGAATTTCTGTTTAATTTTACTTAAAAAACGATATACATTATCCAGTTTAGTGAAATTTACCTTGGATGTCTTCCATTAAAATCCAAATTTCGGAGATTCCGAACTTTGTATGGAAATTGAAAAGTGGTTTAAAAAGGTGAGCAAAATATAAGCTTTTACTTCTTTTACATAACGATGTTTGGCTTAAAGGAAGACAAATTGTGAATTTTTAGACTGGGGAAAGATCAAACAAGTATAGCACTTTATGTAGGAAAGTGTGAATAGAACGTGCAATAACGTAAGCTTTTTGGTCAAACAGAGCAAAATATTCCGTTGATACGTGGACGTAATTTACAGAATGTAAGCTTCAACTGAAATATCACTACTAGCGTTGACTGGTAAGCATTCATTTAAATCAAAAAAATAAATATTTTTGAACATTTTCTATGTTTCGGCGGAATTTGATCCTAAATATCTTGTAATCTAATAAGAGTCTCATATTAAAAATAACCTTTCACAGTAAGACAAATGCGGATAGACTCTCGAATCTCTTTGATGGCCTTTCTCGTACATTTATAAAAGAGACTTAGATCGCTCATGAATCTTTTACGGCTCAAAACTCTACCAACATGGCGGCAAAACAGCTTACAGCTCAAATTTCGCACATGCGCAGAAAAAATCTCTCTATGCTGTGCAAGGGGTCTATACGTGGTATGACGTTAAAGAAAATATAGACACCAGACGCAAGACACCATATAACTTCTCTGCTTCAATGCTATTTTTATTTGTATCACGTGATAGGTAATTATACGACCTTGTTACATGCGTAGAATTTTCGCCAAGGTTACATGGAAATACAAAAGAAATACCACACAAATTCCATTGAGGAAAAGTGAGATTTCTTTTACATTTTCATGTAATCTCGTATCCCAGATAATTTTGAAAACGTTTCATTACAAACCAAGAGGATCGACGTTTCGGTTCATCATCTCGGACATCATGGCGTTAACTTTTGGATGTTTTCAATCAATGACTCTTAGTTGAATCCTTGTGGATGTTGCATACAGGGTCATTCGGATCCCTTGGGTAAACATTTGACCAGTAAATGTAATACACCCAAACGTTCATGTTAGTAAACTTTGCGAGCTGAAAAAAATAAAGTAGTTACAGTGAAGGCGATTTGAAGACTACAAGAGCCATATCTGATCTGATATATAAGATAGATATATATATTGATGAGGATGATGATAATGATAGTGTCCGTCATTTATCAACTACTTTTCACATAAAAGTGATCAGAGGCAAACTAAATATTAAAAGATGAATATAGTAAACAAACAAAGTAGTCCAGGGCCCGGTTGTACGAAGGGTGGATAGCGCTATCCGACCAATCCAGTGTATAGATTTATTGGATAACAGCATCGATTTATACACTGGATAATGATTTATCCATCGGATAGCGATATCCACCCTTCGTACAACCAGGCCCAGCAGTGCACAACGTACAGGCTTGACTTACATCAATATCTTTGCAATTGGTGTCTCGCATTATAGGTGCCGTGCAGGGCAACTTTTTGTTAACAGGGATTTTGAGCTCGTAAAAGCCAGACGGGCTCGTACATTCGTCCTTTCCCATCATCAAACCATTGGCCGAGCCACCATTTAATGGGTGGCTGCACATTGCTTTCAGGCGTTCATCATCCTCTTCGACGCAGACATTCTCCTCTGAAGCGAGATTGTTTTATTTTCCATGTCCATGAAAACTATATATATGACAATAATACATGGATATATATATACGCCACTGGCTATTTAGACCCAGATTTGCTAAATACAGCACTTGCGATGCGATCATATGTAGTAGTATACATTGATAAATAATGTAAATATCTATTGAGATTCAAAGTCAAAAAATTACTAAGAGACGATGTGGTCACGGATCGTGCATGAAAATGCGTTTTACAAAAAGGCATGAAAAATAAAAATGAAGCACGAGAATCTCAGATGCTGGAGAGTTTTACACTGCGCTTCCCGATCACTATTGCACAAAGATATTCAGACTCCAATACATCATTGAAATGATACGATTTAACCGTTAATTAGCAGCATTTTTATCGAAAAATTTTTGCAGAGTCAGAATTTACCGTCTATCTATGAGGTATGTGTGGCTTAGCGGTGTGAGTTTCAATACTCGTACAGTGATTATATTTAATAGTATTGCATAATAGTTAGTACTATACCCCATTCACACCTAAACGTGTTTAGTTAAACTGCGTTTTCATTATAAAAAAAAAATTGAGAAACTAGAAACCTACAGTATAATGAAACTTTCCAAAATACTATCAAACCAAGACAGAGGATAGTTTACATGCATTATTTCACCAAATATTGTGCAGTGTTCGGCGTAGATAGTTTTTCAAACCTGTTTAGTTAAACCACTTTAAAACATGCTTAAGCCTTGGTGTGAATGGGGTAYTAGACTCTAGGCTGATTGTGGTTGTTGTTGTTGTTTTATTTATTTATTTATTTATATTTACTTATTTCTATTTATCTATTTTTCTATCTATCTTTCTTTCTTTCTTTCTTTTTCTTTCTTTATTTTCATTTATTTTTCTTTATTTATTTATTTTCATTCATTCATTCATCCATCCATCCATTCCTTCCTTCCTTCCTTCCTTCCTTCCTTCCTTCCTTCCTTCCTTCCTTCATTCATTTACTATTAACTAGTACTAACTAACTAGCCATTTTTCTTTCACGGGTTAAATAATATCACTCTACTCGACACTAGTCACATGTGAGCAGATTTGATTGTTGGTTCTCTCCTGTCCTTTCAGTATTTTTCTCTGATTCTCTGGTTTTCCTTTCTCAGTAAAAAGCATCTTATAAATTTCAAATAGCTTCAGTGGACGAGGAGCCACCACGTGGAAATACCACTGTTAAATCCGTTATTATTATTACATTTATTTATTATTACTATTATTGTATTATTACTTCCAGTCAACATGTTACCCATTTGTGCATAGTTATGATTTAAAATTACGTTTTACTTTACTTATTTGAGTAAAAAGGATTACTTACCAGATTTGGTGGGGTCTGTTTTACTTTCCCGGCAACATTCCTCATTGCTGATTTTAAAACGGTCAAACGTAAGGTCCCTGAAATCTGTTATTGGCGTAAGGTATTGTTTTATTTGGCCATCACCAGCGCGGAAATAAGCTCTGCTTAGATGGCGGACATCGAGTCTGACCTCATCCCAAACGCTTGTAGGTTGTTTCTCAGTACCATAGAGCTCAACATACATCTGTTATAAACGAATATTATAATGAAATGATTGCTTGCTTCATCTAAAAGGTCTAAATCAAACATTAAATCGTTAAAGTTAGAATTAACATAACATGCAACGACGTTTTTGGCATTGGGTAGTTTTTGTATGACTAAAAAAGCCATTGCACGTTGTATTTTCACGGTACGGAATGTGTAACGTCCTTTGAGCCAATAAAAGTAAACCAATAAATGAGACGGTTTTTGTATGAGTGGGAAAAGTACTGTAACGACTCCATTTATTAGACGGATTAGTAGGTTTATACTAAAACAATTTTGAGATAGAAACATGGTGCATTGTGGTCTCGTTTCAGTTCAAACATCTTTTGTTCATCATACCTTATATGGCGTTGTTTGTATCGGAGCTAGACCACAATGCATCCTTATCGAACTCAGAAAAGGCCTATGGTCTAGGGGTTAATAGCCCATTCGGCCTTCGGTGTTGTTAAATCATTTATTTTATCAAAGGAAATATTTATCATATCGCTTTCATACATACGTACTTTTATAAGCCGAGCATTGTGACATGTGCTACAAATTTGGTCCTCTCCTATACTGAATGTTGTTGAACCCGTTTTAATTTCCTCAAACATCTGAAAATCCGACAAAATTACAGGATTTATCAAAGTAATGTTAAAGCTTATTGTAATGTACTATTGTAAATTTTCTTGAATGCGAGGATAACATGGAAATACAAGAGGCCAGAAATTCCAAAAAAAAGTGTGATTTCTCTTGTATTAATTACCATGTTAGCCCCTCATCCACGATACTTTAAGAAGAGTCCATTAAAAAAAAAGGCAAACCATACTTCACATTAGGATAAAGAACGTTTACACTCACGTGATAAGGCAGCCATATTGGTGTACCAAGCAATAGAAACTTGCTTAGTGGGAAGCACGGGAGGCGTAGCGGTCAGAGCGCTCGCTTCTCATCATGAATGCGGCCCGAGTTCGAGTGTGCTTCGAGGGTTTTTCTCCGGGTTCTCCGGTTTTCCTCCCTCCTCAAAAACCAACTCCTAAATTCGAATTCGATCACTGAACAGGGGCCACAGGTTTGTTAGCCCCTGGCTTTTAAGTGCTACCCTCGTAAAAAAAGAAAGGACGGTTTCTTTTCTACATAGTTTTTGCATAAAAAAGAGTTCAATTATAGTTCAAGAGGATAGCAAATGTGTGCACTTGAAAGGCTACGGGTAGTGGAATCTATTGTTCAAACCAACATGGCTGCAGCTACTATAATATTTCCAAGATGGATTATATTTCGTCCCCTATGGCCTAAAACAGTCCCAAATTGCACTGCAATGTAAACTCGACTTATGCTCATTTGAAAAGGACGCTTTTTTTCTCAAAGCTCTGCTATTCCATATTTTAGGGGAAAAAGCATTTTTGACATCGCTGACAAAGAAATATCACTTGACTTACTTTAGTCAGGAAAACAACTCGGGCCCTTGTTTTTGGCCTAATTCCTGATCATGGCACGCTTGGCACACGAAGGATGAAATTTAATCCACACAGTAAGGTCGATTAATCCCACTAATAGGAAAATAAATTCCTTCAAAAAAGTTGGTAAATAATTTCAATTATTCTTTAATAATAACAATAAAATAATTTTTCGATATATAATGGGTCCTTTAATGCTATAGACATGTTTCTACAGCCCAGCTGCCATCACCAGTAGTAGATAATATAGATCACAAATTATTGCTCAGTTTCTGCTCTCAAGACCATTTGGAAATAATAAAATAATGATGATGACGATTGTTAAATCGATGATGGTCATGACGATGATGATGATGATGATTGATGATGATTGATGATGATGATGATGATGGTTATGGTTATGATGATGATGATGATGGCGATGATGACGATGATGATAACAGTGATGATGATAATAATGATGATGATATAACCCTAAATTCTATGATCCACTGGCATCTCATGACAATCGACGACATTCTTGACAATTACCTGTTTGTCTTTCACATTATCAAAACTCCATTTGTGGACTTTAGTTCTGTAATGCAGCTTAGAGAAACAGCGTGTGGCCTTCGATGTAATGTCGGACAACCTCTGAGATACTTGAGAGAGTTCAACTGCACCATTAAGTTGCCCGGTGCCCAGCGCACTTTCTGAGGCGATACGTTGGAACGAGCTCATGATATCATCCAAGTTCCAGAGGGTACGGAAACCAAGGGCTTTCTGGAGCTCATAGATATTTTCCATAAACGACCGTTCCAGTTCTTTGTAAGTACCAAGCAGATGTTCCAGGAAGGTTTGCCGAAGTTCATTGGTTATAGAAGCATCTAGAGTGCAATAACGATAATAATAATAATAATAATAATTAAAAAAAACAATTGCAATTATTTTCAGAAGAGTACAACGATGTATGACAAATTACAACAAATATGGCGACCAAATGTTCTGCACTGACAAGCAACTGATTAGCCACGTGTTCCCGTGGAAAAAATATAAGCATTTTCACATGTATGAGAGGCTAGTTGGTCACTAGTCAGTCCAGAACAACAGTTATTCAGATTGGCCGCCATAGTTTGATTCATGGTGTATAGAATGCGCTGAATATAATTTGTACAAACTGAACATAACTTGCATAACAATAAATTGCTCAACCGAAAAGCAGGACTGATCTACTAGATTTGCTGATTACTGTTTACATTTCGAGAATTCCTGAGCTTACATTTGGAAATGTGGATGGAAGGAAAGCTCTTGGTTGTAGCGTAAAACGCCGGTACACTTTGGGACACAACAATGTTGACGAGAGAGTGTAAGCTTCGTTGTAAGCTTCGTTGCATCTTCATGTCCACCATCTATATCATTAACATGAAATATAAGCTCAGGAACTCTCAAAATATCAGTCGATTCATTAAAAATTTTAAGCACAAAAACAGTCTATAATTGTTGCCGCCAGTAGTCGGCGAACATATCATAACTCGAATTTTAAAACGTAAAATCAGGCCTCAAAAGCTAGCAAATATTAGTTTTAATTACCATAAAAAGGATCTGTAGGTATATCTGCATTCATTTCAAGAGAATCTTGACAATTGAAGCGAAATTTTGAGGTTGAATCGGGGTTTGAATGAGTCATAAATCATAAGGAGCCAGAACCACTTTTCTTTCACCTTAGCATGATGAAGCTGTTGCTATGGATCAAATTATCATCCCATTAGGTTATGTCAACAGGGCTTTGAAATTCAATAACGTTGTTTGCTGTTTTATATTCTTTACCGTGTATATATGCTTAGTGTCAAACAAAGTTCGACAAGCGCGCAATTTTTGAAAATATATAATCCTATACTGTCTTGGAACTCGAGTCATAAGACCGTGATGACTTCAGATCAGAGTGCTTCGTCCACAATTGATTACGACAGTTTATAATCTATTGCTCGAACCCCATAAAAACTGGTGGGCACTAAATACCAGGATATGTGGTCAGTCACCAAAAAGGTTTGAGGGGGCTGCTTTTACTAGCAAATTTCCTAAAGAAATCAGGAAGATACGACTCCAGGATCTTAAAGACGAAAATGGCGCGCAAATAGACCATCATGTATTTGACGGAGGCCAACAAAGAGGAGGTTATCGAAAGGATGAAGTCTACGTTGGCACCAGTTTTTGTATCTTTGCTGGGATACTTAGGCAAAACCCCAAGACTTTACTTCTTGAAGAGAAGAAGATTAGAAGCATCATAGAGGTTATAAATGGTGTGGACGTAAACCTCCAACAATGCCAGCAAACCAAGACACCTTGCCCCAGAGTCAGAAAAAAGTAAGGCCAGTGACATTTTCTCTCTTGGTTGTATCTTTAAAGATTCATACGTGATCAAAGAACTTCAAATTTGTCAATTTCAATCTCTCTATAGAAAGTGCTGAGAAAAGAGTCCAGACCAAAGACCTACAGGGAAGGACGTTTGCAACTTGTTACAATCATGTCGCAAACTCTAGTTTCTCAATTAATTAATAATTAGCAAACGTTTTAGTGTAAAACACGTATTTTAGTAGTTCACACGAATTCTAAACACTCAGTCTGAGTGCACGTCTCTAAAAATTCCTGTTCGTAAACTACAAGTTTGTACAAATTATTTTAAACGAGGAGACCAGCCTAAGGTTTTCGGTTCATTTCAAAACTGAGGATACTGGTGTCTGAAAACTAATGCTGACATTTTTTGCCGTTGGTATCGACTAAAAAGGATGAATCCTCGAACTTTCAAATATATTACTATTTAATGTTACTGTTATGAATTGATCGATAAATGTTTATATATGTTAAATATCGCATAATAAAAAGGCATACTGTTTTGAATCGCCTTCAAAAAGGATTAAAACAAACAATTCGTTGACAGCTACTTGCCATAATTTTGTCGCCTCTAGTGGTTAATAATCCTGGAACCGTCAATAGGAATTCGAGGAATGCGGGAAAATTTCCGGCATTTGTGTCGGTATCCAAGTGGTTCTGGCTCCTTATGCCCCTGCTGAGAATTCCGCCATTGCACACGCGTCTTCGGTCCACGGCAAACAGAATAAAGACAAAAAACTCTCTTTTGCAGCCAAACTTTATGATAAAAACTATCGCCAACGATTAAAAAAAAACACTTCTTCCAACTTTATACGGAGGATCGGGTCAATCGAAACAGAACAAAGGTTAAAAACTTCACTATAGTCTTGGTATCGCTACGCTTTGCCACTCAAAGTCTTATTGTTGTCAAGGAATATATGGCTGGCTTGCCCACCACGGGCTTGTTGCTATGGGGCAAATTGACACGTGATCAATTCCTGCAAATGGCCTATTATGATCACACTTTAGTCAAAAAACTGGCTGACTTGCAATATACGTTGTTACAGATACTGCAGCCATCGTAAATTAGGGGATATCCAAGGAGCAAACGTAGAAATATTTAAAGTGCTACATGGACGAAAATCGCTCCAAAATCAAAACTCTTTCATTTGAGCTGAAACTTTGCTGAARTAATCTTTGATACGTTAATAATCACTCACTGAAATATCTTTTTGATATTCGAAAGAAAAAAGACGAAATTTTATGGTTGATTTTCGTCCGCCATTAATTTGTTTGTCTCACGGCCAAAGAGTCATTATGTACAGCGGTTTCTCTCTGTGACGTCATACGAGCAACCTATTCAAGTTAGCGTCGCTTTGACCATACATTTCTTGTTGTTCGATTACCTGAAGTTTATTTGGTGCTTTAACGCGTTATCGTGAAAAGAATGAACTCAGTAAACTTTTTTTAAGGCTTCGATACTTTTTCAAATGGTGGAAAGTCCTTTGGACGCTTTCTTTGTCAATCCTGAAGAGTTAGAACCAGTTGCTACCAACGAAGAAGTTATTGTGTATAAGAGAGAAGATGAAGCCGAACTAGAAGAAGAAGTAATAGTTGCGAAGAGGTTTTCATAAGAATTCCTTACTTTCATTCCATGATTTGTATTTGCTACATAGTGTCCATGATATAAAGATCTTAAATTTGAAGTTTCAAT